ACATGGTCTCGGGGCCGCACTTCTCACACGAGGTGAAGTGTTCGGATCGAACCCTTTATCCCTAACATCTATGATTCTTGCCTACGTTCCTCTTTTTAAAACTCCTGAACTGCCATTCAGATTAGCCACAATTTTAATGGAATTTTTGGATTTAATAATGGTTGATACCACTTTAAATATTTGCACACTGTCTTTATAATTAAAATGTCACTAAGCTTTACTTACTACTATGTATTTTATAGAATTGGAGACGTCCATTGGACTCTAAATATCAAACGCCCCTGGACCTCAAAACAGCCTTTCCTAAGTAAGCACAAGCAAGAATTTTTGTCCTAGCCACTTTTAATAATTCTCTTAAAATCATATATGATCGCACCAGAATTCTTTATGCTTGCGTTCTGGAACAGCTGATAAGGATATAAACACACGTAGTTTCAACTTAAATTCTAGGCCTTTTCTGTTCTACATTATATGAAAAAAATTCTCTGTCATCCTGATATTATATTGCTGATTTGTATAAACATATTTATAGGCACTTTAGAAAATATTTAGACTACAAGATGTACTATAGACACTGACCACAGTCGTGTTAAACAGTCTTTTGAGTAATAATTGTACAGTGAGAGATATGAAAGCTTTATCATTTGGACTTGGTACTGTGCTCACTTGGCGCAAAGGGTCGGGCTATGTGGATGGATAAACTTGCTTTCTTGGGCTTTTGTGGAAACCCCTCACTTTTTGAAAGTTGGTATAGAAGCTATTAGGAGATACCAAACGAAGGCTGTGTCAAATTTAGTCTTTTTATCTAACCAGGATTTACTTAAGAATTTACAACACTTTCAAATATGCTTATAACTTTTCTGAGAAATGACAATGCAATTAAAACGCTTTTGTGGTTGGTAACTATTTGGTACATTAAAAAATAAAGCTCTAAGATCAAACCTACGTATTTTTTTACCTTGGAATTTTCAAGATTTGAAATTTGAAGAAAATCCTGAAGAGACAGTTGCTTTCCTGGAAAGGAAAGACTTTAGTTCAGTTGTAATACAATACAAAATAAAACGAACAAAACCAGACCACCAGAACCATATAGTTGTTTTCCTGAAATACTTTTTGGATTTGATCTGGGATTTGGTTTTATCTTTGGAGTGGTGGTTTTATGTATTAACTTCCATTTCCTGGCCTATTTAAAACATCAAAATTCCTCTGGGACTGATCATAACAAACTCTTTTACACAAATTTAATTCTCTGCTTGGGTAACGGGATGCAACCAGATAATTTAGAAAAGCTGTCAAAACACCCCGATAAGTTTGGTGGTATAAATACTACTAGGCAAGAAAAAAAAGCACAAGTTAAATCAAATAATATTTATACAGATGATAGCTCCTGATTATTCCCACATCTGGTTTGCAAAATTTTATTGACATGTTTTGGCTTTTTACATGAGGAAAACAAAGTTTGAACAGTTTTCTTCCCAACTCTTTCCTCCAGAGGGAGTGTGAAGCAGAATTAAGGAGGCCAGCTATAATCTAGGCTTTCAGTAAACTGAAGGGGATGGGATGGTGTCTGCTGCCAGAGCAAGAGGAGGTGGGGAGAAGCCGAGTGGTGGTGGGGGGGGTCCCACTCCCACTCATTTACTAGTGCTGGAAACTCTGAGGGTATCGGTATTTCTCACATCTAGACATCAGTACAAAGGCACTTCTCAAAATCAATTTTGGAATTACTACCATTAAGAAAACTGGCGTTACTGCTCTCTCCGAGTACTGTGGATGATTGAGAGTTGACTGTATCTGAAAAGGGCCGTGTTTCCATTTGTGCTGAGTTCTTTCTTTGATCGCAGTTGGAGGGTGCTGTCTCGGGAGCCTGAACACGTCTGAAAGCTGATCATCGCTAGCAGTTTTAACGCTGAGCTCCCACGTTACTGCTGTGTTTGTATGTACTTTTTAAAGCTGTTCATACCTTGCAATATTCCCTTACTGTGTTCTTTTTTCACCCGTTTTAAAGTTTCAAGCCCAGCATTGACTCGTCTGTAATTTCCTACGATTATACTCTGTTTTCCTGCAGACAGTTCAACTTTCCTTCGTGTGTATATACTTTAGGAACACACCTTATAAAATAAATGTGGTTTTCTTTTGTATCAGCACAAACCTGGTATTTTGGAGCGTGGAGTATTATTCCCCCGTTGGAGAGGTTCTGTGTGATTTCAGTAACAACATCATGTAAGCTGAAAAAAGAGAGAGACCGCATTTGCAAAATGTGAAACATGTATAATTGGGTGCTTTCATGTGCTAGGAAATAAGCAATTGACATCCATTATCCCGTTTCAGAAAGGAGCCCTGGTGGCACAAATGGTTAATGGCTTGGCTGCTAACCGAAAGGTTGGCAGTTGGAAACCACTCAGCCTCTCCTTGGGAGAAAGACCTGGCGATCTGCTTCCGAAAGGTCACAGCCTTGAAAACCGTCTGGAGCAGTTCTGCTCTGCGCACACGGGGTCGCCATGAGTCGGAATCAACTCAGCAACCAACAACATCCCGTGGGAACTTTACAAAAACTTCATGAGGTGCAAGGAATTATTTTTCTCCACAAGTTACAGATAAAGGCACTGAGATTGAGATTCAGTGAGTAACTTGTCTAGAGTCACGTGGGCAGGGGCCTAGCTGAGACCCCAGTCGTCTCTCTCCCAAGCTGTGTGCAACCCCCATGCTGCCCTGAGACCAACCTCTGGGCAGTGGTACCAGGGTCTGAAAACTGAAACCGCTAAGGCCAGTCCACGGTGAGAGACGGGGGCCGGGGCGGGGGAGTGTGCTCAGAAAACCAGCGCCTGCAGGTGAGCGCCCACGTGAGTGCCCAGCCACCGCCCACGGCCACCAGCGCCTGCAGCCCTGAGGGGCAGGTGGGCAGGGCCTCTGAGCACTGCGGCTTCATTCTAGGGAGGCCGTCACCGTGGGTCCAGGGCGGCAGTTAGGAAACTCTACTTGCTGTTTTCATTTTCCTTCCAGACTTGAGAGGTGGGGAATTGAGGGACAGGAAGTAAACTCCATACTTGAGTTTTGGGGGTTCCCCATTTATCAGCTCTCAAGGAGAACTAGAAGGTAAGCGGGAGAAAGCCTCAGGGCACCCAGTGTGCTGGAGCCCACACGCAGCTCCTCC